AGGAGAGAGGGGGGGTGGACAGGAGAGAGGGGGGGGGTGGGGGGGGGCCCGGATCATCACCATCTCCATCACCATAACCATCACCATCGTCACATCACCATCACCATCACCATCACCATCACCATCACCATCACCATCACCACCACCATCACCTTCTTCATCATCACCATCATCATCATCAGCATCATCATCATCAGCTTCATCATCATCATCACCATCATCATCATCACCATCATTATCATCACCATCATCATCATCAGCAGCAGCATCAGCATCATCATGATCATCATCATCATCATCATCATCATCATCATCATCATCGTCATCGTCATCATCATCATCATCATCATCATCATCATCATCATCATCATCATCATCATCATCATCATCATCATCATCATCATCATCATCATCATCATCATCATCATCATCATCCGGAGCGCCCCGGATCGGCGGCACTGGCCAGAGGCCACTACTGTCTATATATATATAGAGAGAGAGATACGAGAACCATCGCGCGCGCGTCGCGCGAGCTCAGGTTCTAGCAGGCCCCAGGCTTTGACAAAGTCACTGCTCCACTGAAGTAGTGGACCACAGTCCACGCATGCCAATCTGCATCCCGAAAGGCCCAAAGGCCTTCGAGGAAAATAGTTATGTAGGGAAACGGAGGCCATATGAATGGGGTCAAGTTTTATCAGCGCAAAAGGTGCAGCAGGCAGGGCTACACTCGGTACAGTATCGGATGTGTGTTGGACCTGGACTGCCAGCACCTGGAGGAGGAGGACAACGACGATCGACGAGGAGGAAGAGGAGGAGGAGGAGAAGCAGGAGGAGAAGGAAAAGGAGAAGCAGAAGGAGGAGGAGGAGGAGGAGGAGGAGGAGGAGGAGAAGCAGAAGGAGGAGGAGGAGGAGGAGGAGGAGGAGGAGGAGGAGAGGAAGGAGAGAGAGAGATCAGAGGGAGGAGGGTGAGGGGGGGGAGGAGGAGGAGGGAGGAGGAGGAGGAGGAGGAGGAGGAGGAGGAGGAGGAGGAGGAGGAGTGAGGAGGAGGAGGAGGAGGAGGTGAGAGAGGGAGGAGGGGAGGAGGAGGAGGAGGAGGAGGAGGAGGAGGAGGAGGGAGGACAAAAGGACGAGGAAGGCGGACGACGGAGGGCCGGTGTTCCGCCCCCCCCCCTCGCCTCCAGGCGGCTTCGGGCCGCCCAGGAAGCGATCGGGCGCGCATGCTGGAGGGTCTGTTTTGGGTGCTCCAGATTTCGTAATAAACGGGAGGGGGTCTGGACCCGCCAAGACAAGCCATTTCAGACCTCCCCCGTGGGGGAAGCCTCCAAAACATCGTCCCCCAGACCCCCCAGGCCCTCCAAGATAGCCTGGAAGAGACCCCCCCCGAAATGAGACCCCCTCCCTTTTATTACGAAATCTGGAGTGCCCTGTGATGCCGTCGCGGAGCCGTGCGAAGGGTCCCCGGGCCTGTCTGGGGGGGTCTCTTGAGGCAAACTCTGGGTCGGTCCACAAGAAGAAGCCTCCCACAAGAAACCCCACCCTGAGACCCCAGGACGTCCATTGATTTTGGCTGTGGGAACGGCACGCTTTGCATAGCAACACCATCGAAACCCGAGAAACCCAGGGCACCCTGGAGGCAAGCAGGGTGTTTCTTGGCATGGGCCTCCCTGTATCGGATGCATATTGGAAGCATTTGGGGAGCCTCTTGGGGCCTCATTGAAGGTCTCCTTTGAAGGGGGGGCCCCGGGGGTCTCTTGGAGGCATGCTGCGGGTCCTGGGACTATCCTTCGGGGAAAAGCTCTGGGATGCCTATTGGGGTCCGCTTGGAATCTCTTGGGCCCTCTTGGGGGGCCTCTTGGGCCGACTTGGGGCGAAGAGCCTGGAATTCGGATTACAGGAACCCAGAAGTGTAGGTTTCCTTGTTTTTTGGCGGACCCCTTTCAACAACAAAAGAGTCCAGACTTCCAGGTTCCCGCGCCCCAGGCACGGCTGTTTCTCCTGTTTTGTCTCCCATCATCCTCTCCCTCCTCTTCCTCCTCCTCTACTTCCTTCTCCGCCTCCTCCTCTTCCTCCTCCTCCCCCTCCTCCTCTTCCTCCTCCTCCTCCTCCTGCTCCTCCTTCTCCTCCTCTGCTCCTCATTCCTTTTCCTTACGAGTAACTCCTCCATGTCCCCCCAAACGTGCAGGTAGGGCGGGCTAGGCGGTTCGCCTGAGACCCCCTCACAACTTATGATCCTCAAATCTAGAAATTGCAACAGTTTCACGGGTGGATGGCGAGTGGTTTTCAAACTGTGGCTCTCGAACTAGGCCCGCGCACTTTCGTCATAACGTATTGCAGCAGCTTCAACGATTTTCAAAATGTGGTCATCGCCATAGCGCCGCGCACACTGGTTTGAAAAGCTTGCGCCTATTTCAAGGATATGTGGATTGGATGTCGCCTTAGCACCGCGCACATTTGCGAATGTGGCTCTTGCCCCAGAGCCGCGCACATTAGTCTAACACATGTGTAACAGTTTCAAAGGTTCTGATGTCGAAGTCCTAGGAATGGCGCTCTGGCGATCCAGGTTTGTCAGGACGCGACAGTCACGTTGAATCGCGGTGTTGCAGCCCCATGAAAGGTGTTCTGGCACGGTGTAAGTTTGTCAGGACGCAACAGTCAAGTTGATTCGGGGCGTTGAAGTCTCACGAGCGGTGTGTAGGCACCATTGAAGATTCCCAGACGGTTGTGTTCAAGTGGGGCGCTTCCCGCGATGAACATAAGTTCCGGCAAGTAGGGATTCTGAAGAGGGAACTTGGAGGCGGGTTTCCTGCAACAGGGTTGATCCGTCTTGGATCTACACTGGTCCTCCTCCTCCTCCTCCCTCCCTACTACTCGCCTCCTCCTCCTCCTCCACCTCCTCCTCCTCCTGTTCCTCTTCCCCCCTCTTCCTCCTCCTCCCCCTTCTCCTCCTCCTCCTCCTCCTCCACAATTACACAATATGAAAATACTCTCTTACTTCCCCTGATGGCGTCCCGAAGATGTCCGACCCCCCCCGCGTACTGTTTTTTACACACAGGATTCCCGGGAAACGGGTTTTCGCCTGCGTTTTCCAAAATGCTGCTCTCGCTGAGGCACCGGCCTCATTTCTGCTCCCGAATCGTTCCGAATCGTGCTCCCGCTGCAGCGTGGGCCTCATTTTCGGATCGGTGTTTGGCCTCCGTCTTTCAGGATGGCGTTCTCGCCCCAGCGCGGGCCTCTTTCTCGCGCGCCCATCCGCCCGCCACCACCGCGCCGCACCACCACCACCACCACCCCCACCACCACCACCACAACCACCACCAGCACCAGCACCAGCACAACACCACCACCACCAGCACCAGCACCAGCACCACCACCACCACCACCACCACCACCACCACCACCACCACCACCACAACCACGCACACACGCACGCACGCACGCACGCGCACCACCACCCACTACGCACGCGCGCGCGGAGCCACAGGTCCGCTACGACACGCGTCCGCGGATAGAGAGAAATCAGCGCCATGGTAAGGGATGGGAGGGAGGAGTAGGACGTCAGATATGGCACGAGCGCACCTAGCTTGTCCTCCTCCTCCTCCCCCTCCTCCTCCTCCTCCTCCCCCTCCTCCTCCTCCTCCTCCTCCTCCTCCTCTTCCTCCTCCTCCTACTACTCCTCTTTCTCCTCCTCCACTGCTCACTCTCCCTCTCTCCCTCCCTCCTCCTCCTCCCTCCCTCCCGCCGGCCCTGCCGAAGGGCCTTCGCCTGCAGCTCCCTCCGCACCTCCCGCGCCTGCTCCAGGGTGGCCGGCTTCTGCCGCGCCGCGGCCAGCTCCTCCTAGGAGCGGGGGGGGCTCCGCTCGAGACCGCGCGCCGACGACGGGGGGAGGGAAGACGTCTTCTCCTTTTCCTCATCCTCCTCCTCCTGCTCCACTTCCTCCTCCTCCTCCTCCTCCTCCTCCTCCTCCTCCTCCTCCGACTCCTGTTCGTCGTCATCCTCCTCCTTCTCCTCCTCTTCCTCCTCCTCCAACTCCATTTCCTCCTCCAAATCCTTGCCCTCCTGCCTGTCCTGCTCCAAATCCCACTCTTCTCCGTTCTCCTCTTCCTCATGTTCGTCGTCGTCGTCATCCTCACCAGCAGCATCATCATCCCCATCACCATTACTATCACCATCACCACCATCATCATCATCATCATCATCATCAGCAGCAGCATCATCATCAGCATCGGCAGCATAAGCAGCATCATCGTAATCATCACCATCACCATCATAAGCATCATCAGCATAATCAGAATCAGCATCAGCATCATCATATGCATCCTCATCAGCATCATCATCATCACCATCACCATCATCATCATCAACATCATCATCGCCAGCGTCGCCATCAGCATCATCATCATAACCACCAGCATCATTACCATTATCATCATCGGCAACAACATAATCATCCTCATCAACATTCTCATCATCATCATCATCATCATCATCATCACCATCACCATCACCATCACCGTCACCGTCACCATCCCCATCCCCAGCATCCTCCTCCTCCTCACCACCATCATCACCATCACCACCCTCGTCATCAACATCTTCATCACCCACATCATCACCATCGTCTTCATCATCGCAGTCGCAACTATCATTGTCAGCATCTCCATCAGCATCACCATCACCATCGCCCTCGTCATCGTCATCACCATCGTCATCGTCATCACAATCACCACCAACACCATCGTCACCATCGCCATCGTCGTTATCAACATCCGCACCAGCATCATCAGTCGACGTCATCGTCAGCACCAACACCATCTGCATGATGATCGTCATCAGTATCCTCGTCACGATCATCATCCTCATCATCGTCGTCGCCATCGTCACCATGACCACCGTCATCATGATCAAGATCATGATCATGATCACGGTCATCATCATCATCATCAGCAGCAGCAGCAGCAGACTCATCATCATCGCCAGTAGCATCCCCATCATCGCCACCACCACCATCAGTATCGTCATCCTTATCCCCATTCTCAAACTCAACCTCCTTGTACCATCGATATCATCATCCTCGTCATCATCATCATCATCATCATCATCAGCATCAGCATCATCATCCTCATCCTCATCCTCATCCTCATCCTCATCCTCATCATCATCATCATCATCATCATCATCATCATCATCATCATCATCATCGGCATGATGCTCCTGCTCCAAATCCTCCTCGTCCTCCTCATCCTCTCTCATCCTCCTGGCCGAATCGACTCTGGCAAAACAGGGGCCCCGAGGCAAGCCGTTTTCCTTCATCTGCCTGTCTGCTGTTCGGTTCTCTGCAAAGCACGGGTGCGCAAGCAGATTGAAAACGCTGGGCGCCGCGAAGACGTGAGAACAATAGGACCTCTGGACAAACGGTGGGAATACCATGTGGGACCTGCCTCAAAACGGGACCATACCGTATCTAACCTTTTATCCGACCGTGTACTGCGCCCAACGGCCGCGGTGCCTGTAGACGAATCCACCCGGGATGTGTCTATAGACGTATCCGCCCGAATGTGTCTATAGACGCTTGTGGCATAGGCCCCAGACATTGGTATTCTAGAAGATAGCAGGCTTTTTGCCCTCCAAGACCAGCACGCGTGGCACGCGTGCTCTCAACTCGGGGGCCAAGGAGGGGGAGGAGGGCAGGAGGGAGGAGGGCAGGGGAGGGAGGGAGGAACGGAGGGCCTGGGCAATACCAAGTCCTCCTCCTCCTCCTCTTCCTCCTCCTCCTCCTCCTCCTCCGACCTGGGCCCACCGAGCCAACTGGGCGCTGATGCGTCAGGCGATCGCGCGCTGATCTATAGCAGACCCCCCGGCGCGTCGACAATGCCACGGGCAGTGGCGCACGAGAACGCTTGTGCGCCCCCCCCCCGCCTCGCGAAAAAACGGGGCCACGGGCGCCAGAACACGGGTCCTCGCGGAGAGGGTTTTTGTTTAAGGATTGTGTTTGGTCTGAATATTTCCACGGAGCGAGCCACCAACATGATGCTCCCGCCCTCGAGCACTGTGTGTCGCCGCAGCCATGCTGCGCCGCGCCGTGGGACAGAGGAGCGGACGGATGGCGTCTGATCTGTCTCTGCACCGCGCGCTGCCTCTTTGAAAGAGAGCCAACACGAGGCGAGCCGACAAGACGAGGCTCGAGGCCGCAAGGCACAAGACGTCCAGAGAATGAAACCGCCCGCTGGGAAGGAGCAGGGCGAAGATGCGCAACGGGACGAGAGCTCGTGGGTGCGGAGGCCTTCAAGCCGCGGCGCGCGCACCGGGACCCACACGAGCCGGGCAGAGGGGATGGAGAAGCGGAGGGAGAGGAGGAGGCGAAGAGAGAAGGAGCACAGCAAAAGCACGGTGCAGAGTGACCCAGACAAGTCAAGCACGTGTCCAAAACAAAAAAATCCTGCGTGGCGGCAGCTAGCCACGCACCCTCAACTCAAGCGGGGCCACGGGCACCAGCGCACGCGACCGCGTCCTGATGCCCACCCCCCCTGGTCAGGGCCACGGGGCCGCAGGCATCGGCACGCAGAATCGCGCTTTGATGCGCAGACACCTACCCGCGGCAGCGGGGCCGTGAGGGCGTACAGGATCGGGCTCTCGCGCCGTCGTGTTCTCGCGCCGCCCTCTCTCAGCGCGGCCGCGGAGCCGTGGGGACCAGGCCACGAGCTCACGCCGTGGGACACAGCGTGGATGTTCAGGGAGCCCTTCCAAACTCCTCCCCACCTCCCCGGCAAGTCGGAGGAGGGCCTGCGGTCACGAACTTCTGCTCAGCGTGTCGCCACACCGCGGTCCCGGCGACACGCTATGCCTTGCAGGCGGGTGGCGTGTCGCGCAGGTCAAACCTCCACCTTGCCTTGGTCACCAGATGGCAGACGATTGCCTCGACTTCTGGAAGCAGATTTGGACTTCGCATCGGGATGGCGAGGTCACGGCCCCGCCCGACATGCAGGAAATGGGCTCAGATACCGCCGCTTACTGCTGATGATGTACGCGCTACCATACGTAAGTTCAAGCCCACGACGGCACTTGGGCAGATTACGCTGCAACCACGTGCGCTGGAGCAGGTGTCAGATCTGTGTTTGGGAATCTTGGCGCAACTACGTATGCGGTGCGAACAACTCTGCTGCTGGCCCACGCAACGTGTCATTACCACCTTGATCAGGCTATCTAAAGCGTCGGGAGGCCACAGGCGCACCGCCTTGATTAACACGATTGTCGAGATCTGGAGCAGGATGCGGCACCCGTTGTCCAAGCGCTGGGAAGTGGAACATCCCTCACCTGCCTTATGGGGGTCTGGTTCAGGTGCCACTTCGACTGATGCCGCGTTTCAGCACAATCTGGCGGCTGAGACGGCCAAGTACACTGGCCTCCACTCGGTAAGCGCGCTGATTGACATGTACAAATGCTTTGAAACCATCGGGTTGCCAGTCATATTGGAACATGCTGCACAGGATGGGGTTCCGATGAGGTTGGTCTTGCTACTGTTGCAACTATATCAAGCACCACGACGGGTAAGAGCCTATGGGTCGGTCTCGGTGCAACTATCTTCCAGCCAGGGCATCTTAGCGGGATGTACTCATGCTCGTGCGATGGTCCATCTACTGTTATACAAACTGCTGGCGGCGGTGCAGAGGCGGTATACGGATGTGGTCCCACGAGCTCTTATGGATGACGTCAGCTGTCAATGGATTGGTGAGGATCCTGCACAGGCCGTAGTCCTCTTCCACGCTGTTCGCTGGTTTACTGTGCAGGCGGCCCCGCTGGGCCTCAGAATCCAGCCTGACAAAAGTAGCTGTGTGGCCAGCTCGCCCCAGGCTCGGACTGCAGTTAGACGGTTTGGCAAGATGGTCAACTTGCGGTGTCACGGGCACATGCGACACCTCGGACATGAGCTTGCAGGCGTGCGTTTGCGAAGGGTACAGGAGAGAAAGAGGCTCATCAGTGTCATGGCCCGCAAGGCCAAGCTCCGTGCGCTTCTTCGCGGACGTGGCAAGGTGCGTACGTTGTGGCGCACAGGTCTCCTACATGCAGCTGCGCATGGCGCAGGAGCCAGTGGCGCGGTCCCGCACACCCTCGAGAAGCTCCGCACTCTTCCCGGCTTCCTGGTGGGAACTCGAAGTCACGCCAGCCTGACTGCCTGGCTGGCGACACAGGAAGATGAATGGTTTGATCCTATCTACGATGTGACCATAGGCATTGCGTGCAGATACGCAGGCGTCATTTGGGAGTCCCGTTTCTCTTTGGCGTTACTGCAACGGGCATGGCTGCAGATGACAACACAATGGGATGGTCAGCTTTCCTGGGCACGCTGTAATCAGCAGCTGGCAGCCGTGGCTTTATCATCACATCGAGTGGGTTGGAGTATGATATCCGCGCACATGGTGATACACGATATGGGTCAGCACCACAGCTTTCGTAAGGATCCACCTGCTGAGGTCAAGCTGATCCTACGACAGAGCACCGGGCGCTGGCAGATCAAGCGCATAGTCGAGCACACGCAGCCCATCAACGGCGATCATGCAACATTCGGAAGCGGCCCCCCCGCAACTCCGTCCTGGACATCAAGGATCCCGACCGAAGAGGCTGCGCCAGAGTGCTCCTTGGATCCGCCATGTGGCCCCCAGCGAAGAAGCTAGCCGCAGGCCTGGCTGATTATGGACGGCGTGAGCTTTGTGATAGCGATGACTTGGGAACTCTCGGACATCAACTTTCTGACTGCGAGGGCCTAGTGAGCATTCCTAGTGAGTTGCCTGTAGAGCCCCTGCCTGAGGATGTCTTGGAGCACAGGGCTTTGTTGCGGG